CGGACTTGATGATCTGCTCAGGTCCCTTCCGACCCTACTAACTATGAAACTATGAAATATGCTCAAACATAATTATAACTCAAACCCCCATTGTACAGGTTCCTACTATAAGAATTACCCAAGACTCCCTGATTCAGTACAGCCAGAAAGATTTTGCAGATCCCATGGCATACCCTATTACAATTTGAATCACGATTGCTTTCTGGGGCACTATCCTGCCAACCACTACAGCAGTTCAGAATTTTTCATGAGACAAATCTGTTTCCTGCTTCAGGATGAGAAGTTACTCTTAAAGAGGTCAGCCTTATCCATATTTCCTTTATTTTTTTTGTATGCAGGACAGTTTTCAATACCTCCATATAAACACAGGTAAAAAAATTATCAACTTTTGCCAAAAAAATTACATGTTTGGAAAATTAAGGCTAATTCACAAGGTAGGATTAAAACATGTCACTGATACAATGACATATTTGCAACAGCATATTTGAATAATACTTCTCACTTCCATATTAAACATAGCTACTCTCTGTTGTCCATGGCTATGTCTCTACAGGCTTTATGGTGAGCTTGAGACTGCCACCAAGAAATAAGTTCCACCCATTTGTGTCTAAACTGGGAGCAGGCCTGAGCAGCTTGGAGTTTCCCTCGGTACACACTGTAGCCTCTTCAGCCAGTGAGGGCTAAGTGCAGTGGTGGGGCACACGCTCAGGTCCATTATGAGGCACTCATGAGCTGTCTACACTGCCCACCTTGTAGATTTCCATATATAAAAAGGTTATTATAAAAAGAACGGGGTGATCAATAACATATCAGAAGGATAAAAAGAAATCAGCAAAGAAGATTTACTTTAGCTATCAGGAAAAAAATCTTTTTAACAATAATAATAGTGAAGCACTGAAACATGCTACCTGGGGGTGTTACCAAATGTCCTTCATTGGAGGGTTTTAAAAACAGGCATATGGCAGGGATAGGCTATCCGATTTTCCATGTAGGGGCACGGACTAAATGATCTCGAGGTCCCCTCCAGCACCACATTACTATGATTCTACAATTATTTTTATACCCCATTAGCTGCCAGTTGGCAAACTTTTATAGAAATAATTTTGAAGCACCTTTTACAATTTTCTCTGTGGATATATTTATACTAATCCACTTTCATGTAGGTTTTTACTTTA